CAGAGAACCACAGTGCACTGCTGTTCTGCTGCCCTTCAGAAGACAATCTGCTCCTTAATTGCACATATTAACCCGAAGTGGAAAGAGTGCTGGCATATTGTACTCAAGTGAGCACTGTTATTTTAAAGACATTTTACTCAGGTAAAAGTTAAAGTACATGTGTAAAAATAAACTTAGATAAAATTGAAAAGTAGTTCAAATGAAAATTAAAATGTACACTGAGTAAACATTACTGCATTCCCTTTAAAAAGGAGTTGGGAGGTTATGGTGATATATGATGCAAATGTTAAATTAAATAACACCTTTAGGCTACAAAATAAATGTATATGTAAATGTCAATGTATACACTACTGGAACAACATCCAGCACATGAGCCCTGATGTCCACACCAACAATAAATTCCAATAAATTCAGCACATGGGCCTGTGTGTACCATTGATTATTAGTCATAAATATACAACAGCCTTCCTCGGTGTGGCCTCACTTGAAATCATCAGGAAAGATGCAAACAAGACAATTAAACAACACAGACCAATAAAAGACTAAATTAAAACTCTATGGACACTGCAGCAGGTGCAACAAGCGCTGTTGAGCCACTTAAAACAATAAAACAATCAACATAGCCAACACAAACATGTATAAACAAGATAAACTTCACAACAACTGCAATTGCAAATACACATTTTAAAGCAAAGGAGAGACTGCTTTTACACACCACATAACAGTGGTTGGTAGGCAAGGCAGTGGTTGTTGACATTCTCATCTGGAGAGGGGAAGTTCAGTGAATTTGTTACTCTACTCACCTGTCTGAAGGCATTCTCTGAGTCTTGAGCACACTACAACCAGTTCACTCAGCCTCTCTATCCCAGTATAACCAGTCCACTCAGCCTCTCTGTCCTGGTATGACCAGTTCCACTGTGCTCCTGACATTCAAAAACTTTTGAGCTGAATGAGGCTCTGCAGTCACACCTGAGATTATTATCACAAACAGCAGACAGGTCTCATACACCTCACTAAGGATAAAAGTCGCCACTGGAGGATCCACCATGAGAATGAGCCAGTCACCAGTTAGTGATGCAACACTGTGGGTGAGTTTGATTTGAATCAGTGAGTGCGCTCACTTTAATGCAGATGCCATCCTTATATTTAATCATGCCAAGGTATAAAATGTTAACGACAATCATTAGGCCTTAATTTGATTGCGCTGTTGTTAATTTTTGTACTGACCCAGGTGCGACAACTGTTCTGTACCCTGCCCCCCCCCCCCAACACTTAGCCAGTGAACCAAGGAGGTCAAAAAGAAGAGTAGTTACAGGATCATAGTGCATCATATCATGAGGGTACAACACATGCAGTAAAATCTGGTCTGAGCTTGCCTAAAGGCTCAGTAGTTGGCATATGATCATAGAACATGAGATTGATTCATTCTTTTTACAGAGGTGTCCACACACTCCAACACTGCAGCTCTAGTTACATGTCATACCCCATAGCTCCCATGGGGTCAGAGCCTTGCAGTGACCCGAACACTTATAACATGTATCTCTTCCGGTGTGTCAGCTCTGCTCTCCGGCAGCCACAGATACACCAGCAGCTTCATCTCTGCTGCAGCTGCTGATTTCTCCTTTTCTATGTTCCATTCTCACACAGTTTACCATGACTTTACCATGTGAGTTTTCCTTTTACTTTGTAATGGATGCAGTTTGAAATGTAGCAAAGTGTGATACTTGTGACAAAAAAGTACTTCAGTAAATGTAAAATTACAGATAGTAAAAATACTGAAAAAAGTACAAGTACACACACACACACGACTACATTGCCACAGTAACAAGAGTGTTTCATTTCATAAGCAACTAATACATGTTAAGATGTTTCAGTCTGGACCGACTGACCAACACTGTCGTTCCTACACCCATAGGATTTGTCAGTGAGACCACCCACCAGTGACTGATGTATATGATATATGACATCCACATGTGGATCTGCCGTATAATTCCCCAGTGGTTGGCTGCCTGCAGACTAAACACATTATAAAGGTGTTTTATCTGCAGTCTGGCAGTCACTCACATCTCAAACCCAGATAACACCAAGGGAGGAGGCGGAGGATGTCCTGCTGTATTATAGCAGGAGGTGTGATAGTAATGCAGACGAGGGAAGGCTGCGCTCACTGCCATGGGAGAAACCTCCTCTGCTCAACAGTCAATCAGGGCACACCGTATGAGTGTGTCACCTGTGATTATGCTCCCCATCGGTTATCTCCATGTTGACAGCATGCTTTCAGGGAAATGTACAGTCTTAGTGCTGTGGGAAGTGTGAATATTGGGCAACGTGAGGTGTGTAAGAAAAGAAAAGAAAAGAAAAGAAAAGAAAAGAAAAGAAAAAGAGTGGATGGATAGGCACATATTAGAAGTGCTTTCCCACATTTGCAGTTAATTTATCTATCATCATAATACTTCCCCCTCCTATTTCACAAGATGACTGACTAAACACACTTTGGTTTTAAGGACGCAACTCATGTCATCTTATCCTCTCTTCACTCACACTTCTGTACATGTGTGATCTAATCTAATCTAATTAGATTAACTATCAGTATCTGTAACTATCAGTGCATTTTGATTTTATTTTACAGTCATGGAATAAAACACCGTGAGGCCTCTGAGGCCCCTGATCTTTGTGCTGCTTGCTGTTGATTACCAGTGTCCCTCCTTGTTTCTCTCCATTCAGCCTAACAGCAGGGCTTCTTGCCAGCTCCCACCTGTTTGTTTTTCTCCTGACTGACAAGACAAAACCACTCTGGCCACTCACCTTGTGTGCCCTTTGGTCAGAGAATAACAATGCAACTTGAAGCAGAGGTGGGACCTGACCTGTTTTCTGAGTTGATTTATGTATGCTACGTGAAAATGTATCATTGTTTGAGGATTCATTGCCCTGCATCTGTGTAAGATAACTGCTGATGTTTTGTGCAGCAGCAGTCACCACATATTTTAAACATATATTGTATATTTAAAATACATCAATAGTTAATTCTGAGGAAGTAATGTAGAAATAATATAGTGTAAATTGATCTGGATATTCACATTATCACACAGGTCATAGATATGAATCCACATCATTTGCCTTTCCATACATTTTTACTTTCTGGAGACAAAAAAAAAAAGAACATGAAAAGATTTTTGATTTAAAAAAACCCAGCACAGATGATATATATTTCATTTCTTGAACTCTGCTGCATCCTAGTGGACTGATGAGGCATAAACTCCTGTAGTGCAGCATACAAATGTCAGCAGTACAATTACGTTACACCAAGGCAAATATCACCCATCTGAGTTTCCATTAAAGGGCATCTTTTTATGTGATTTAGTATTGCTGTTTTCATAAACATGGGCAATGGGTCATGAAGAGATTTAAAAAAATAATCATCAGCCTTTCAGCGTTCACACTGACAGTCCACCACAAGAAGTACCATCCCATTCCAATTAGCGGGTATTGAGAGTGGGTTATAAAACCCTCCAACAGTGAGACTGCCTCAGTGCCGATATACAGACCCCATGCAATGCTGTATGTTCATTATGGAAGACACTTCATACTCATGTAAGGTCCATGTGACTATCCTTACAAATGTAAATAGCTCAGACCAAGATAGGCATTTAATATAGACGTCATATAGACGTTCACAACTTAAAGGTCACATTGTATTTAGGAGCAAAGTCTCTAGTCTGGAAAATGGTGTAGTAAAGTTTACTTCCAGAGGCTGTTGTAAAAACCAGTTAGCTTACAAACAGAGTGAAAATTGAGAAGATAATTACAAATAAAAGTACTGCCGCTGAACAAATGAAGGGTAAGATTTATTTCTATTGACTGGTTGATTAACTGATTTATTTAAATTTAAAGACAAAAGGACAATATACAAAAAATAGGCAAACAAAAGCAGCACATACAGATACAGTACATATGAAGAACATAAACTGGGAGTAAAAATAAAGTCATGACAGTTACTTTTCCCACTGGACAAAGGGAACTTCCCCCAAAGCCTGTATTTCTGCCCTACACCTTAATGAAGGGTGCTTCATTCAGTTGTGATGACAACTACAAAGTGTAACACTCCATGACAGAGGGTGGGAGTGGGGTGGGTCCAGTGTGGAGAAAGGCCCACTGTTAATCAAGCTTCAAATAATGTGACTAATACCATCTTTTTGAGGTGCTCTCGTTGAAAACATCACCAGGGCCACTTTCTCGAGAGCTGAAGAAGATATTGAAGAATAGTAGAAATAGTAATCTACCCATTAGAGTGATATCTGATTCTAGAGTTTCCTTTTAAGGTTCCTTAGTGGTTAAAGGAAGATGTCTTTTCTCTATAACATTAAAACATGTTCCGTTATCTTACAATTATGGTGTTTAGCGGAGTAGGAAATACTGTACAAAGTAAATTATAAAATAGATATGAAAAAAGAAAAGACCAGAACCTTTTTGAGATCCCTCACTTCATAACGAAAGAAACTAATTTCTTTTCAATTCTTCTTGGTGAAGCAGTGATTTATTTAACAAGACAGGCAAGATCTCCTCTCACCAGCATGCAAGTTGATTTGAATATATTGAGTGTGAGGCAGAGCTCATTTATCTTCTCCTCTGGCTCTCGCTCGCCCACCTTTCTCTGCCAGTCAGTTAGTCAGTGTTGCAGACAGCACACACAGCGTCAGTGGCGAGATGCAGATTGATAAGGGGTTCGGGCAATATAAGTGGGTGTAACTAGTAGGATCCGATACAATGCCAAAACGCAGCGCTCAGGGCTGTAGCAGTCACGCTCCATTTCTGCTGCAGTTTTAGCCAAGGAACAAGAGATTTTTGAGTCACGCAAAGCAATTACATGTCGGTATTTCATATTCACATAACTGTGGAAGAAGAGGGGAGATGTTCCAGAGGCAGCTGCATAATGCAAACCTGCACTTATTTACACATTCAGATACAGTTAAAAAGGGTGATAGTAAAGTGACACACAGGAAATGTTTATAGTTTCCATCATAACTTTATTCTTTGAAACTACAGTTTGAGTTAAAAATACTGAACAACAACGGTAAACAACACACACGCGCACACACACACACACACACACACACACACACACACACACACACACAGTGACAAGGTTGGGTGGATTCATCACAGTGATGATATTCAGAGGCACGCTTTAAAATAAGTCAAAGTGAATCTTTTATCATTTCTACCTAAGGATGACAGCAGTCTTTACTGTTGCCCACATTCAACAAAACAGAATTTTCTAAAGGGTCTTCAGTCCCAGAACTACAGATGAGCAGTAGTCATTGTCATGCAGAGCCCAACTGCTCAAAATGGGCCTCTCAGAAACTATTTTGTAGCCTAAAACATTCAGAGAAACCATCCCATTGCAAATGGCAAACAGCCCCTATTGTCATGCGGCAGACTGTGCATGCATAAAGGTAAGAGGGCACAGCATTCCACTAAAAGAAACTTAACATAGTACAACAAACACCAAACTTTAGCTGAATATACTGTGTGATTCACTATAAAATCTTAAATTTATAAACCTTCTAAAGCCAAAGACCCACTGATAGTTTAGATGATGATGATAACCACATCAGGAAGCAATTTGATGACGAATAATACATGACATAATGGCAGACTTAATGTGATTATTAGCTGCATTTTCAAGGCCCCTGGGAGCCAAATAGATCAATTTAACAACCACACCTCTCATGATACAACATGACCTTATACTGACTGACTGCAGTGTAACAGCTACAGGTTATTGCTGGTGAGGTAAAGCTTACATCTGAGCTCATGGTTCCTGTATCAGGGTTCACAGTGGCATCATTCTTACATATCTGAAAGCCAGAATACAAACACATTTATATTGGATTTTTGAAGGGAAAAACAAAAATTAAAGAAATAGGTTTTTTTTTTAAAAATAAGCTGATTTGCTTTATTACAGAGAATTAGATATGAAGATTTAAACCAGTCTCATGTCTGTATGATGAAAATTAAGCTACAGCCAACAGCCTGCTAGCCTAGCTTAGCATTCCTTTAACTTTTGGACATAGCTAGGCAAGCTTTTTCCCCATTTTCAGTTTTTATGCTCAGCTAAGCTAAGCTAAGCCAAAACAATTACCACTTGTGTAATTTCTCCTTCAGTAAGTTTTTATTTTAATGACAATACGTATTATTGGAGACAGGGCAAGAGAACACAAGTTTGGTGGCTAGGTGCCATTCTGACATAGCTAACCACCTACGGTGATTAACACTATTAAAATCTTAACTGAATACACAGAGTAGAATACAAGAGTGAACTCTGGTGACAAAAAGATGTAGACAGGTTAAGGAAGGTTCTAGGTGCTAGTAAGTTTAGTACAGCTGGTGGCTGTATAGGATATTAACCCTTTGAGCAAAGTGCAGATATGCTAATCTACGACATCCAGATAAAGAATAACAAAACAGTTACCCAGTTAGGGCACAGTATGTGGCAACATTAGCTAGTTATGTGGCATTTCACATGACTAGCTACCAATGTTAATAAATAACTAGAGCAATTCAAGGTAACTCTATTAAAATCTTACACAGCACAGTTGGGATACTGAACAAAAACGTGTGGAGGTAAAAGAAACAAGGCCCTGGTGATACTGTGAGTATTTCCCATAAATATCAACATTTCTGTTTTTATATGAAACATGACTGGTGGATGTATTTTAACGCCTGGAGCAAACTGCAAACATGCTAATCTATGCCAACTGAGGCTTCTGCTCACACCTTCTATTGCTGTAGAGGCAAAAGTCCAGGAAAACTGTAGCTTGCAGGAGCGGGCAGAGTGCTGCCGAAGAGAGGATTGGAGAGGTTAGAGGTTATCTTCTGAATATACGTGATGGATACTCAGTAGACCATTTGATGACTACACTGCAGCAGGCTGGGATGAGAGGTCGAAGCGTTGTAAATCTAGCTAACGGAACAGGGGTCGTCCTTGCAGGGCTTGACATCCCCCTGCAGCAACAGGATCATAACGGCCTTGGTCAGGTAGCTGGAGGTGCCTCTCTTTCCCACTGGTGGTGTGTTGTAAAATGCCTCCATGTCATCCTGGCAGGCACAAGAATTTCAAGACTTAACAAAAAAGTGCTCATAAAAGTTTAGAATGATATGCTATATGTGAAAAAAATGAGATCCTAGCAGGATTATATTTCAAACATTCATTAAAAAACTTGGAAAGTCACAGACTGTTTCTGTCAGGCTTTTTAGCACTATTAAATCAAGCTACCCCTTTAGTTAGATTATCAGTGTATGGCTGGTACAGAGGCTCAAAGTTTGGAAGCACATCAATTTAGAAAGGTGATGAGATAATTTTGTGGCTGACACTCCGGTCACATTCAAATGAGAACATGTTATAATACCAGTTAATATCAGTTACGGCCTAGAGGAAAGGCGCTCTACCTGTTTCTCCATGCCTTCAAAGCGGCTGCGATCCTTCTGGAAATCATTAAAGGCTTCCTTCACCAGATGGTCCAGATCCATCTTGTCGCCGAACTCAAGCTCCGGGTTTCTCTCCAGCACTATGGACACCACCATCAGCAACTAGTCACACACAGGAGATAGGACGAGGCTGTCAGAAACTAAAAACACAGCATCCTCTTTTAAAAAGAGTAAACCACACTTAACTGTTATCACAAGGAATATCAAAATCAGTCCCTAAACAAAATGGATATTGAGTGAAGAACTGGAGTCCCTAAATTCCCTCACTGCTTGACTGTGGACAAGCTGCAGTGCTGAGACAGAGTATGATATCAATTCCAGAATAAAGAGAGCAAAGTCAATGTCATGTTGAGTACAAATCCATACACATTTAATTTGTTAGTTTCATTTATTCTGACTCTGTTATATCTGTGCACTCTGGTTGTGTGGGCGTTCGGTGGTTACCTCTACTATAATTTGTCTGTACTCAGGCAGGACAATGTTCGTCAGCGTTTCCTCCACCAGCAGGGAGAAATTCATCTCATACATGGTCATGTCAGACAGTGTCGGTTGCTGCGGAGAGATAGTAAAATAAAAAAAAGTGGTTCATGTGAGCATGAACATGCATGTCAGCTGCTGGATGCTGTAATTGATGATCATTGTGTATATCCTGTGTGTTTGTGACCACTACAAAATGATCACAGGGCTGTTATAATTATTCTTTTCAATTATTTTGTCCTGATTAAAATGTCATACTGAATCATCTCACTCCATCACTGTGAGCACAGAAGAGGCAGAGGGTTGTGGGATCTCCCTCCTCCTGTGCACTAACAACCTGTCCATCATGGTGCCGACAGTAGGTGTAAAAACAAGTCAATCACTGTGCTGTTAACTAAACACTCTCCCTTCCAAAACAGATTATGGGAGATGTAGAGAAAGTAAATATAAGTTGTGAAAGCTTAGAGTGGAACTGGATCTGGTCCCCGAGTGTTTGGCAACTCAAACTTGCCAATACATTAACAAACTGTGCTTTGAGGCAACAAAATACCAGTGATGTCAGTGTAACTTTTTGTATAGCTGTCAACTGCCAACTGTCTTTCTACCATGGCTATAAAAGGAGCGATTCTAACTTTGAAATGAAATTCTAACTATGATATCGATTAACTGTCTATGTATTTGAAAAATTAAAGTAAACATTAGTCTTTATAAGCCATCATTCAATGTAGTGTCAACAGGATTTTTGGTGAATAGGTATACAAACTCAACCTGTAGGCCTGCATGACACCAAACACAGACAGTGCTTAAGGCGCTCTACTCACATCATCTATTTTGCTGTGTATCGGTGGAGTTCTGCACTGAACAACCAGCCAATAAGCATTCACTGCAAACATTTTGACTTGTCATGGTAGGAAAGAACAGGTGTTAGTAATGACATTAACAGTGTATACACTGATTTTAAGTGTCTGAAATTTACTGTTATACCCATAGAGCAAATTTTTGAGTGTCTGTTAAACAGGGTGTGGTGAATGAACGAGCGATTTCAAACACTGTGCCAGTAAACTATGACAAGGTGACAGTGAGACAGCATGCATAATACCGGGACCCTGAAACCGAAGCAGCTAAATGGTTTTCTGTCATCATTAATCTTCCTTATTTAGAGTTGTGATTTTCCTACTGTGGAATGTCAAAATACCTTCCACGAAAAAGGCCAATCAGACAAGTGAAACACTGTTAATGACATCACTGACTGTTGAGTCTCTTAATGAATAATAGCTGTGATGATGAAAAGTGATTGAAAATAGCAATTTTGCTGAATGCCTTTAATTAGACCAACAGAGTAAAAGATCCACTTATACTACTCACAGACAAACAAAATACATTTTTACGATCAATGGAGACACCTTGAAATTGATTAGGTACTTTGTATTATAACAAAAATCAATCAGTGTTCATCAGCACAGGTTCCATTGTGTGGTCGATGGTCCCCTTTTGGCAAAAAATGCCTTTAAGAATCTCTTACATTATCACTAATTTGGCATATGACTTGCTTATATAAGCATTAATTAGCCTGATAAGGTTGGGTTGTTTTTAGCGAATACAAGCTATTACGATTTGGTTGTAGTGTTAGAGTCTAATGTTAGCATACTAGCATACTAGTATGACATTGCTGACGTTAGTGCTCTGGGACTACTCATTAAGCATTATTAACATTACCATTTTGCCAATGATTTACCACATAAATTTAGCTCTTCAGCCAAAGTGCCAATTCACTTAATGTTAACGTTAGCCCCGATGGTTCAATCCTCTTAATGCCAAGATAAGAATTGGCCAGGCTAATACTGTCATAACTCCAACATAATTAAACAATCTGTGTTTGTCATCTTTTTTCACCCTTGATTGTGGCCAAATTTTAAATGTATTGATTATCATTCTTAGGAAAAATTATTTGGGGCGGACACTATCACAAGTATTTGAACCAATAAATGTGAACAACACTCCTTTGAGCAATAGAATTTGTTAGGTATTCTTAAAAACAGCATAAAGATCTGTGCCTGTAAGCCTTAGATGTGCCTGTTACAGAATAAATGGTCTCTGTAACCTGTAGCTGTTTGTATAGCAGCACAGTGTCCCCTTCAAACAGCAGTGGTCATTGAGTATTTATCCTACAGCAGAGCCAGGGGAGGCAGGTACCTGTGGGAGGTGAGCCCCAGCCACTGTAAAGCCGTTGGGGGTCCTCTCCAGGATCTGCCACACACGATCATAAAAGCCCAGAGGGGTTCTGTTCAGAGAGCCATCGATCTGACGCCTGTTCAGCCAAGACCTGAGGCGAAAACAAGGGTGAAACTGTTGAACCACATTTCAGAGACTGGGGAAATATAATGATGATAGCCGATGTGCTAGAGGAAATTGTCTATGAGTCAGTGTGTATTAGATTAGATGAGATAAGATAAAAATGTAATAATTCCCACAGGGAAATTGGGTTGCGGCAGCAGCAGATTAAACGATATGGATGTAGGCAAGACAGAGGATGAAATAATTAAAACTAAAAAGATTATACAAGCGAATGTGTTAAGATAACGACACTGCATCTTCAAAGGCAGATCTGTGAGCAGACAGGGAGAAGAAAACACAGGTAATGTTCTCTATAGTGTGAGTGTCTTTGAGTACCTGCCGGTGTGTTGTGGCTGCAGGACGTCCAGCAGGAGCTGCTTGATGTCGCTGGGGGAGAGCTGGTAGATGTCCTGGGGTGGCATGTCTCCCGCCCTGATCTTCAGCTCGTGTTTCATGGCCTGGACAATCCATCTGGAAATTCACAGTATACCACCATAGAATTGAATTGAATTATACGTGTGTGTAACAGTGGACATTTGCGATTAGTTAATTGTGAAGGGAGAACTTTCATTTAAGCTACACTTGGCTGAACTTTCAATGCCTTTTGTATTTTGTGGACAAAGCGTTTCACTCTTTGACCCTCCAAAAATTTTCTTCCTTGCCTCTGAGGGCTTCTGTAAAAAAGTCAAAAACAGACAGATAAAAACAGCTAACTTGTTTCTCTAAGCTGATAGAACAGAATTTTAAAATGGCACATTGTACCTAACCTCACAACACTTCTTCCAACATTGAGTTTTGATTTTCTTGACAGTATTTTCGGACCAAACTTGTCTGGAGAAATTTGTTCAATCCCAGGTGCTTTTATTCAATAAGTGTAGAGCACACCTATAAATTGAGTCTCAGTCCACTTCTGAGAAAACTGCCATGTGGTTTATTTGGAGTGTAAAAAAGAACTTCAGAAAAACAGCCTGTAATGTATGGACACAGACACTGGAAAGCTCTGAGTTACTGATGTTTTGATCGGCTAACATAAAATGAAGGAAATCTGCAGTCTAAACTGATGCCAATATTCCTTGAATTTTTCATATTTCCTTGAGTGGTCTGAAAACTACAGTAGGTGAATTACAGCAAAGAGTACATTCTGCACGAGGCCATCTTGATCGACTGAATGTACAAGAGTTGTTAGGGCCCCACTGCAGCCACCCTGAACCCAAATTTGTCCTACCCGACTCTGATCTTCAGCATGCCGCTGAACAGCTCTGGGTTGTTGGAGATAATCCATCCGATATGGATGACCAGCTCCTGCTGAAGAACAGCCTCCCGTTCCCCACCGTGAGGGGAGCACTTGCTGTAGATGATGCCCTGGATCACCCCTGGCGACAGTGGGTTGGAGATCACCTCCTCCTCTTGCCCGAATAGGCCGAGAGTCACCTGGTAATCACAGACATTAGCAAACACAGGGAAAAGGAGCATACCCCAAACCTTTATAGATTTAGAAAGTTTGTTGCTGTGCAGAAGGATTGCTGTGCCTAGTATATCTAAGCTTTTGGGAGCATGTGTGCCTTTACAGGTTCATCTGTGTGGAAAGTGTTCATGTGTAGACTGGCATGTGCACACAGTACTTCCTCCCAGGTGCAATTCCTACAAGTATCTTTGTTCCATCACTCTAAAATTGGCCTCCTCTCCCAGAGTCACATAAAAGTGAGAAGGGAAAAAAAAAAAAAATTACAGATCTCAAGATTACTCTTTTGTATTTCGTGTCTTCTGAAAGCCATCTCATGAAAATTACACCTAACCAATCTCTCTGATGGGAGGACACACTTTTATCCTTGCCTTCAGCTGATGAAACCCAGTACTTTGAAGATGTATCATTCATCTTTACATCTGAACTGATTCTAACTGAGCAAAGAACAACCTGGAGCTGGAAATGACCGAGGGGGAAATACATTGTTGAATTTTAATATTGATGAGAAATATAATCAAAACTGGAGTCAGAATTGACTTAAATGGGGTGCTGCCTCTTATTTCTTCCAACTGGGCTGCTATTGTAAGCACAGGAACACAGCCGTCTCAAATCTTAAGTCAGCTTTTCCAATCATGTCGAGAGGAGCATTCCCTCCGGTAAGCAATCTATATGCAGATTCACACCTTGAGCTACTTCAGCATAATGAAATGCCTAAAACTGTTCAGAGGGGTAAAAATGAGGCGAGATAACTGACACTCTCGAGAGGAGGCTAATCTCTGAGTAACACTTGACAGGAAATGATGCACCGAATCTCATTCAGCACGAGGGAGCAGCATCAGACAAATTCCCGGGTCACATTTTATCAATTGGCACATGGGAGTGTGTCTAGACACGTGGACACGGTGCATATTAGAATTGTACGCTGGTCACACTGGCAGCCTTGTTACAACTACAGCTTAGATACACGCACAACGGAAGTGAGCTGTGATGAGGAATATGAGCATGCAAGTAATTCCCATAGGATGACAGTATGAGAAGCTTATAACCATATATTTACAATTTAATTTCTTTTAATCAGTGAACATTAAAATCATTGTCCCGCCATGCCATTGTCCCAACATAACCCCCAATTATTTACTACTGTGGCCCTGTGGTCTGTGTGTCCACTTACCTGCTTGCCATGCACTAAAACACTAGTAATACTGGGGGCAAGGCTGTCCACTAGCTTAGTTAAGAGACTGGCAGCAAGGCGGACAACAGACCTAGTGGGCGAAAAGACACAAGAACATTCTTGACATCATGACAGATAACATCTAACAGCTAGGACTTGAGCAAACTACATCTTTTTGGTCATTTTTACTAAAAGGCTAAGGATCCAATTTCCTTTTTTTACTGCAGCTTCAGTCATATTATGTACTGAACAAAAATGTAAATGCAACACCTTTGTTTTTGCTTCCATTTTTCACAGGTTTAAGTCAAAGATCTAAGACCTTTTTCATGCACTCAATAGATATACATTTAGATATAAATCTGTGTCAGTGAACACTTCTTCTTTTCCAAGATAATGCATCCACCTGACAGGCGTGGCATATCAAGATGCTGATTAAACTGCATCATGATATGCCACGCCTGTCAGGTGGATGCATTATCTTGGAAAAGAAGAAGTGTTCACGATAATGCATCCACCTGACAGGCGTGGCATATCAAGATGCTGATTAAACTGCATCATTAATACACAAGTGTGCCCTGGGCTGAACACTGGCCAATCTAATATATGTGAGGGACCTCCAGAGCTGTTGCCCATTATCTGAATGTTCATGTCGCTTCCATAAGATGTCTTTAAGTCGTTTTCATTAATTTGGCAGTACATCCAACCAGCCTTACAACAGCAAACCACATGTAGCCACACCAGCTCTGAACCTCCACATCCATGTCTTCACCTGCAAGATTGTCTGAGATCAGCCATAAACAGCTGATGCAGGGTCTTAACCTGACTGCAGTTCTTCATTGTAACCGACTTGGTTACGTGTGGTTGTGATGGTTGGATGTACTGCCAAATTCAGGGAAACAACATTAGAGATGTCTTATAGTAGTCAAATGACTACTATGAGTTCACTGGTGGACATTCCTGCAGTCAGCATGCTAATGACATGCTCCCTCAGAACTTGTGACATCTGTGACATTGTGTCATGTGATCAAACTGCACATTTTAGAATGGTCTTTTATTGTGACCATCCCAGAGCACACGTGGAGTGATCATGCTGTTTAATCAGCTTCTTGATATGCCACATGCTAGTTGGATGGATTATCTTGGAAAAGAAGAGGTGTTCACCAACACGGATTTTTACCAATTTGCAACTAAAATTTGAGAGAAATTTATCTACTGAGTGCTAAAAAAAAGTCTTAAACTTAAACCTGTGAAAAATGGGAGCAAAAACAAACGTCTTGCATTTACATTTTTGTCCAGTGTACTTTATGTGATGTCCAACTTGTAATCAAATTAAATTAATTGCCCTATTGAATATGGAATATGTGGAGAGAGTGCAGGGGCCAAACAAGGCACGGTGACTCAAACATTTGATCGGCATTATTAGAAAAACATACAAATTTCACAAGATGAAAAGGCGAGAATTTCTTCCATGGCATGATTGCCAGTTGCTTCCTTTTCTTATTATAGCACTTTAATGCCCCCAAATTTACAAACTATCCAACATCAGAGTGAATATGAAAACAGCTCCCACCAATAATTCCAACGATTTTTGAATTAAACCAAAACGAAGATTTCAACACTGTGAGAAATAGCAAAATAAATGTGCGCACCCCAGTCCTAAGTTGTGAATTTGAGTTGGTTATCAAATGAAAAATACAAAGTTGGCTTCCCAGAAAATATTTTAATGTTCACTAATTTCCCAGTTCATAATTCACACGAGTCACTACAGCCTTCAGACTGCCTCCTCTGGCCTGCAGGAATCCTATGAGGGAAAAGCAGCACATAAACACACATAATCTTCACATGGTAGCTCACAGACAGGGTTGCTACAGATACACACACACAGTGTTGAAGCCATCCTCACAAATGCAATGAACAAATTAAACAATTTCATTAATGGGGTCATGAATACAATCAGCTGAAACACAACCTCCTCTTATTATATGCTATCATATTCAACTCATGTTTATGTATTTCTGTGAGTGTGTGTGTAGTTATTCAGTGCTTAAACCTGCGGAAATTCGAAAGCACATCTTGAGCACGATGAATAAAAAGGTAACAAAGCCTTAATGTTTAGAAGGCATGATGTGGTGTCAATCCACTGATGCTTTGTTGGGGAACCTATTTCAAGCTTCACTTCCCGGCCCGTGTTAGGTAAATGAGAAAGTAAATTGAACTGAGTATTGATGCTATTTCCCAGCAAGTTGGAAACCAGCCTCCAGGCTTTTTTCTACTATATGGCATAATACAATTTCTCTATGCTAGAATAGTATTAATTAATAAAACAGCATATAATAAAAGTTGTCATGTCAGCGTAGGGAGCTCAGAGTAGGGCCGTAGCGCCTTCCCCATCGAGAGGGGCCAGTTGAGGTGGTATTTGATCAGGATGCCTCCTGGGCACCTCCCGTTGGAGGTTTTCAGAGCACATCTACCTGGTAGGTGGCCTGGGGGTAGACCCAGAACACGCTGGAGGGACTATATACCTCATCTGGCCTGGGAATACCTCGGGATCCCCCAGGAGGAACTGGAAAATGTTGCTGGGGAGAGGGACGTCTGGAGCACCTTGCCCATCCCGCTACCCCCTGCGACCCAGCCCCAGATGAGCGGAAGATAATTGCTTGATGTATGGATGGATGCATGCATGGATGGATGCTTTGGATAAATGCGTCACTTAAATAATGTAATATAATGTAATGTAACCTGACACAAATTCAAATCAAACCATGTAAACAGAAATCACTGTATATTAATGAGGAGCTCACACGAGAAATTGCGACAACCATCTACAGTTGTTGGTGAATTCTAGATGAGTCAGGCCAGCAGTATACCACAAACAAAATAAAATCTGGTGTGTTTGGTGATGGCAATTTTGGGGCAGTCTCTGGTTAAAAACAAGCACTTTTAGTGGATGTAAATTGGCGGTGCTCAATTGCCCGCAGGGTACATTGCAGTCAGTTTAGTCAGTGCTGGCTGCAGTGGTCTCACTCAATATTGAACCAACTTCAAAAATTGTTTTTCCCATTTTTCACTTTGACACAAAATATGGGGAAAAAGTGATCCTGGATAGAAATACTGAAGTTACCCTTTAAGATGAAAAAGGTGACAGTCTTAAAGCATGGTCTAAATGGTTTACTAAATCATTTGAATCTATAGTGTTTCAGTTTGCCTCCACAGACATACACTTGCTCTTATATTACTTTGTTATGATGAATTTGTGAGTGGTGTCAACTATCAAGCTGCTCTGTTCAGCATGGATGCCCTTGGTGAAACAGACCTTGAGTAACAAAAGCCAAATTCTATTTCATTTGGAGTATACAGCCGGCCTTACTGCAGCGAGTGATGCTCTAGTAGGACATGAGAGCTGAAACAAGGGTCCAACCTCCGTGATGGTTAATGGAGGCAAAGCAAACAAGCTCCTGTAGACATCTGAGCCAGTGTGCCTGCTAGCTTGGCCAAACTCATGACTGTGTGAGTGCTAGCTTACGTTATGTTTTAGGTTTTAAGCTGGTTAACGTTTTAGCAAGATGCTAAGCCTACTACTCTATTACGGCATCTGTTACCAGGGTGACAACTGGTTGATTATATATCACTGTGAGAGGTTAAATTTACCTTTTAAAGGGATTAGCATTTGTTTAGTACAAAAATAACCCAAATTATACTTTTCTTTTGAAGGTATCCATATGATTTTTTAGAAAGGTACACATTATTATTATTCACTTATTTCCTTTTATTTAGCCCTTTCAGGAAATGCAGGCTATATACATAGCTTATGTCTCTATTTCCAAATCTTGACTATAGAGAACTGTCTTTTAAAAAGCCCTGTTGTTTGGCTGGTTATGATGAGGAATCACAGAATAGGACTGGCTGACCCTCACACAGCTCTCAAGCTAGACAGATAGCTAGCCAGCTAACTGGGAGTCAACATGCAGAGTCTTCAGTCCATCTCTGCCTGAACATTACCTGTTTCCCATGCACCAGCATTGTGGTGATGTGAGGAGCTATAGAGCTGGCGAACTTCTTGATAATGGCAGCAGCTTGGCGTACTGCCAGCCTACAGTTCAGCCAAATTAAATAACAATTATTTTAAAGTGTCAACATGAGTGTGACGACAAGCTTGGACATAACAGGTGTGGAGACAGGTCATTTGGTTAAGTGGATGCAATAAAAAACATGGGGCAATACATGTCATACAGTTTTCCAACACAAATTCCCAACCCCTTGAAATCCACACTAAATCACCCATTAAAAAGTCTGAATGTCACTATTTTAGAGAAAATCACTGGTCCTGGATGCATCATTAGAGTTTATGGTTTCAGATCTGGACAGTTTTGGTAATCGTCTTTATAGTTGGACTCCATAAGGACTGGACTAATGACAGTATACCCTCAACAACTGAAGTAACAGACTGGAAGGCTGCAAACAGTAAATGAACTTTAAAGTATTTGTGTTTGTGTGTGTATATATCAGACCAAAGCTTTCTGCTGCCAGCTCTTCTGTAGATTCTCTCCAGCTCATCCATCATGTTCTCTGGAATCACAAATATGTTTGTGTTCAGACATTAAAAACACATCCTAAAGATATATACAGTCATCCAAATTCATCCTCTATCCACTTTTAATTAGAAATGCCAAATTAAGCAGTTACTACACATTCAACAGCATCCTAATGACATGTACTTGATTACATGACTGATGAATTCAGTAAAAAAGGGTTTTACTGGAACAGAAAGGACAGATCATGATTCCAGCATGATCACATTTCCTTTGTATTTAATGAGGAAACTGAATATCTGCTGCTCTGTTTCAGTTAAACCTGTGACTAAAGAACTAGTCACAAGTGTGTATGTGTGTGCGTGCATGAGTGTGTGCATGCTTACCATCTTTCACAAGGAAGTCTGGTCCTTCTCTCCTAAGAAGGATGCAGGCAAGCTGAGCCTGACTGGCCAAGCAGTCAGAGTCCTGAGCAATGACACACATATACACACACACTCACAAACGGGAAGATGAGCTTGGTTATGCATACAAACACATTAGCCTTTAACAATTAGGCAATTATCTTTATTGCACACTCTATACACGGCTGCAATATTATCTGCTCACACTAAGCACTAACAAGCCAGATTGAAACTATTATTGTTGGACCATTTTCTGCAATCCTGCAATTGTGGTAATAATAGATGTGTTTTTAAAGTACAGCCTCTTTTAAATGTGATAACAGCATTATTGTGACTAGAATATGAAAAAGAAAGCATCTTTCAGCTTGTCAAAGGACGACTGGGATAACATTTTTATTGACTGCTTGAAATCACATTAAGTAGTGACTGTGTTTGGTAGCTTTGATATGGCTGCTAACATGCTTAAATCAATTAAAAACAGACTTGAGTGACAAAGAAAATATGGGATGTGTGTTACAAAAAAATTAAAAGTCTGTTTCATGCGATAGATCACTGGAAGCACAATACAATCTGACTTTCACTCTGACTTTTACCTGACTTCCTCATACACCCCTTTTCAACCAAATCAGCTCTTGTTCTTGAACGCAACTTTGGTGCTATCTAGCAAAGCAACTGGCAAATCCACCAGTTTTGAGCAGAACCATTGTAATCAAGGACTTGTCATCAACGGAGGGCACTGCACAATGCACAACACAAGTAAATAGTAGTAGCAAGATGGCGGACCACACTGATTACCTACAAGGTTTTGTTCTGTTAATGCAGATATTTGTTTTAATTCAAAACAAGCATGGACCAAGGAGACGTAGAAAACTATTCTCCATCCTCTCTTTCTAACCTGAGGAATGCCACACATCCATGGTTGTCGTCTGATTCACACTTCAGGTCAGAAGAAAACCTGCTATTTTCTCTTTGGTTCCAGCTGGGACCTGAATTTTGGGTATGTGAACCAATTTATTTTTGGTCAAAATGCTCCAAACCAAAATTAGGTGCTGTTACTGGAACAGCACCTGTTCCATGTTGGTAGGAAAGGTGAAAAAGAGCCAACAAATCAGAATTGCAGAGGGCGTGGGCTGAGATTTGGATTTTTTTTAAAAACACAACCGAACATGAAAGCTTAAAATATGCAGGCACAGAGCCAGATCGAAGAGCTGTTAATTGTGAGTAGACCTGGACTGGTGGTACCCAAAAACCTGGCCTTGAGACAGCATGTTTGAACATATTTATAAGATGCTAGAAAGAAACGGGATAGTTGGCCAAATGAGCCTCGGCAAGAGTGAGGTATGTCAACGAGTTAACAAGGGGGGACACTGAGAGCACATGGGGTATCTTTCACACAAATAATGAGGCAGACCTTTTGCAATTCTCTGAGGAGGAGGCAGGTGGACTACATGGAGGGTTTGAGGGTTGTTTACCTCAGCTGAAAAGAAACATGGGGTTGTGTTGATTCATAAGGATACGTTTTAAATAATATAAAGGTATTTAATATTTAACTGTCACATTTAAATGGTTTACAAAGGTATAAGTAAAAAGTGACTGAATTTTAGATTTTTCTGTTCTATGGAAGGACCGCTACATGTACATGTTTGACTGTGAGCAGAATTTTTTAGGCTGCAGTCCCACCACAGCTTACTCCCACTGTTTACCTGGAGCTGGCTACAGACAGTCAAGTGTCTCCTCTAATAAACACTGAGTTGCCAGATGCATCTTTTCACCTGCCACTCTGGCTAGTGCAGTGACATAATTAATCACCAGCTTACCCATGCAAACACTACTAACTATGTATTTATGGTAATGAATTATACGTGCAGTGCCAAGCCTAGGGAAGTGCTCAAGATTTGCACATGCATGTTTTTCTTACTGCTTCTGCCAGGTTTAATTATGGAAGTGGCATGTAATATGATAGCAATTAGTTAAATACTGCTAAATACTGCAACAGTTACACATTGAAATGTTTTTGGTTGTTGTTGGAGCCTTTGCGTCTTTAATGTATGTGATCAATGGTTCTGATCAGTATAGTAGTTTTATACAATGATAACAGAATATTAGCTCTGTTTGGAATGAAACCTTTTTTTACTTTTCTAATTTATTCCTTTTATTTACATTTTAACGGAAGTAATATATTCGTCGGCCCTTTCCCTCTAAAGTCGATCAACTCACATGGAACTTCTGGATGATCTCGTGGGTGGGCTTCTGCAACCACTCCTCCACATTGATCTCCGGCTGCTGCTCCAGGTCTGAGGCGTTGGGTGTGCTCGTCTGTCTCTTCACCTTGGAGTGCTTAGGCAGCTCCAGCTCCTCAAAGCTCTTAAACTCTGGGATCCTACGCACATGTGCACACAATATTTGTATGTAGACAGCAGATCTGTATGCAGCTGTTGAACTGCTTTTTTCTCATGTGAAGCATTTTTACAATTGAAGCAAAGAATAAAACAATGCTGGCATCATTCCTCTGACATTTTGTTCATGACACTAAACTGATTCATTGATCCTGAAAACCTTTAAAATCAAGTCTGTATGTCTTTATGTTAAAATTATCAGATTTTATACCAATCAGATCAGCAACACGGATGAGTTGTTCAATTTGTCCACTACATCATTGCAATCCTTGAAGGGCCTTTTGAAATATGCTGCCAGCAAAACAGTCTGACCTCTGACATATCAAGCATAAAGAAAGAGGAAGCTCTTACTCTGCCTCGTTGACACGCAGGAAGTCCAGCTGCTCCACCACGGCTCCAGATATCAGGGTCTGAAAGGTTGGTGAAAAAATGGACCCACTTAATGATTTTAAGATTGATAATCGTTTCTACATTATATACATAATATTCTACAGTAACAGTGGAAAACACGTGAAGAAATGTACCAGGAAATCACACTCTAAAGGCACATTCTGGAGCACAAAAATACAGAAGGTGAGGAAACACAGCTCTATAAGTCCCCGAGAGGAGGTTTGTCGGAGGAGTCAGTATACAAAACAACTGTTTGAATAACAAAGAACACATGGAGTAAGTAGTACGGTGTGAACTCATTTTACTGTTTCAAATTTTACAAATGTGTATGGGAAGAGCAACAAGTGAGTGTCTAACAGAGTAAAAGTAAAAGTTTTATTGCTGAGTGTTTTAAAAGCACAGCAGAGTGGAAGCAAAGAGCGCAGTTCAAAACGTCTTGCTCCTGTGGTCTAAATGTGATATTAGCCATTCCAACTGAAGTCAACTCCAAAACAAAAATAAGAGGCGTAGGAGAGGAGCAATCCTGCTCCCCATAACAATGAGGTGATGAAGAGGAGAAGTGTTTCAAAGCTGGAGGAGTTAGCTGTGAAGTGAATAGCAAATAGGCAAGGGGAAGGAAGAACTTTAGAGCAAAAAAAAAAAGGATCGCATGAGGAAGTCTCTGCTGAACACCACAGACAGAGTGGGAGAGAAGTTAGGGTTGGAAAACCTGTCATAAGTCTGACAAAGCAATTGGTTAAAGTTACCAGTGTGAAAATATTTCTAGTTCTACCTTGGCCTCGTTTTATTGTATTTATTTATTTGCTCGCCTGTGTTCAAAACCCTGCAACTTAAATTTATACAGTCTGCTATGAATGAAGAATGCTATGCTCTGCTATGACACTGACATTTAGAGTCCTAAAACCCAGAAACGAACTGGCATTTTTGCACTCCCGGTTCCCTTGTCTTGAAGTCAATAGGTTTCATACAAGCTTAAGAGTCTTTTACATTTTATTTGACAACATAAAATACGTTAGTAAAAACCCCATTTGTGCTCATAATTTCACTTCTTAGCTGATAAAAAGACCAGGAGTTGCTGGATAAAACACACCAGGTAAGATAACATACATTTGTGCTTGGAACATAGCTGAGTTACCTAGAAAGCTAGCTAGATGACGTTAGTGACGTATTGCAAAATGAGAGTTCACTGAGCAATTTTACAAAACTTTATGGTATTATGACACACTGCGACTTCTGTTTACATCATGGCACAATTCAGACAAGATTAAAAAAAATGATTTGTCTCTCACGGTTTAAAACTGTACATATTTTTTCTGAGGGAAAAAAAAAAAAAAAGGCTCAGTGGGGGATAACAAAAGGAGAGGACTTTGCCTCTTTATTATCACCCGCTAATGCAGGGGTGTCAAACATACAGCCCGAGGGCCAGAACTGGCCCGCCAAAGGGTCCAAATTGGCCCACTGGATGACCTTGGACACCTAATAGTGATGCACTTGTGAAGGCTAGGAGGAAAAATGCACATGTAATTACAGTGAGTAGAAGACTGACTGAATGTGGAACAACTGAGAAATACTGTTGAAATTGCATTTATTCCTCTGACAACATCACCGGCTGTTTTGTAAATGGATTAGCATTTTTAAAATGTACTTCTTTAAACAAAAAAAGGGAAAAATTTGGTGTTTGTTATTCATAAGATATTATGCAACGGTTTGACAGGTCCCGCCCACCTGGGATCAAAATGGACTGTATGTGTCCCATAAACCAAAATGAGTTTGACACCCCTTCTTTAAGGCCTCATTTCCACTAGATCTATAAATATATGGATGATGCCTCTAGTGTCCAACGCAAGGAAGTGCATTTCTTTACGGAAGGAGAGAAACCTGATAGAAACTCATTTTGTATATTATTCTAGTATAATATTCACTTGAAACATTACCGGGACAAAAACAAGATCTGCCAGATATATGATATGTTTTGTGAAATATTTGATTAAAAAGACGTATGAACTGCTGAATGAGTCATAATGACAATCTGACTGTATATAACGAACCATATTTTAGCAGAATAACATTACTCACAATGTGTTAAAACTAGATAAACAAGTTCTTTTTAATCATCATACAAATTCACGTAACAATCAGCACAGGCAACTGAATTGAAGGAAGTAGCCCCTTAGCTAGTTAGCAGCCTTTTAGTTAAGCTAGTACACTCTCATATGGTCTCTCCGAAATCCACCACAAAAGTTCAATATTTTTAACGTACTTGAGGCAAATTCCAGACCGAAATATTACAGAGCAGAGGAATTTTGCAGGCACATCAGATATCACAGAGATTCCCATAGGAATGAATGGACTTCGAGTTGACTCATCTCTGTACATGTACGTAAGTGGATACAAGTTGTAAGTGGATATCAGGGTCTTGTTAGCAAACATTTGCTTAATTGCTCATCTGGCAGATACAGAGAAACATTCATTTTAGTCTTGTTTGTATCCATATGATAAATGTTAGTCTAATATTCACTCTGTTTTTGAATCTATTTTTGATCTCCACCAACTCCTGGGTGAAATACTTTTAGCTACTAAACGCTCTACTGCATTCACCAGCTAGTCACTCACTTTGTGTCTCTGCCTTTTGGTGCTGAGTAGGTTATTCATCTCTAGAGCTTTCTGCTGAAAACAGCTGCTTACTGCTGCTGGAAAGGAGGTGGATGGTCAGGTGATAATTATTGCAGATTTAAATAGATCTGGTGCTATGTTTTTACGGTCCTTCCACAGGCTTGGAGAGCAATGATCCTGATGCAGCTAAATGAAGCTACAACAGAGCAACAGCTTAACTTAGTTAACAGTAATGCGTTCGTAATATATCAAATAAGATCCATTATAACATACATTTTTCTTTCATGTGTTTGTGGTTCTTCGTCTTTAGATGTGATTCATCATTGATTTACAGTTGCCCATTCTTCCTACCCTGCACTCCTTCCCAGCAATACTGCTGAACCGTAGGCTGGTATTATAGCGTCTGTGACACGCTAGGTTTCACTCATGACCTTATGCCACAAATACAATATCACCCAGTAATGCAAATGGATTCAGGTTCGTCTGCAGTCCACTAGGCTGGCTGGAGGACACATTGACGGGATAAACCTTTAATCCATTAATTCAATATTTAATTTGTTTTTGTCACCTAAAGTCATTCTAATGTATTATGTACAAGCTACAAAAAGCTTCAACCCAATAGTTTCCGTCTGCTTTTTTAAACTGTCCAGGCTCAATTCAGTTTCGCCTTTCCCCAGCTCACCAAAACAGTTAGCCTCCTAAATGGAATCTGACAGACCAAGGTCAAAACACAGATAAACATTGGTACTGCTATTGAAATAAGAAGCGACCTCAGATTAAGGGCTGGGATGCTTTTTCCCGAAGAAAACCTGAAGCCTTGCGACAAATTTATTGAAACACTTGAAATATTAAGCCATTATTTATTTCAGAGATGACAGTAATATCTGTCGTAACTGAGCCAGCAGGAGAGAGCAGGTGGCATATTTTCCCCTGACAGCTGCCTTTGCGAAAACCCCACAATATGCAAGCAATCAAAAGTGTAGTAATAGTGATGGTAACATTGATTCTGTTCCTCCCAGTTAAATGTATAACTGAACCCTGCTCTCTAAATCACAGAAGAAAGATACCGGCAGTGGATATGAAATATACATCAAAGATGATGGACATAAAAGCAGAAACCAGTGTCTGCGAGTAATTCTGATGGCCAAATGTACAATATATGAAATATTTTTTTCAGATGTACCGGTGGAAATGAAGTGTTTAAGGATTCACTAAGTTGGTAAAGGTGACATGACAATATTTGTGCCTCCTCATTAAATCTGTTTCTCCTGAGCCGGTATTTTCAGCTGTTGGGCTACTACTGAAGTGAACAAACAATTCCCTGCTCATGACTATCAAGCAGCTAAGGTATGTTTACTATCTTGAATAAAATCAAAACATGTTGTCAAGAGATCGGTGTAACTTATTTCATGTGTACTTGGTAATATTTATGACTATGGCTCTTTTTGCTGATACAAAACAATGGCTTGGATTTAGTTTTACAGTGCTAGGACTGCCTATGATGTTCAGTCCCATCTTATTTCTGTCTTAAAAGTTATGCAGCATTATTTGCCATACCTAGTATTTTGATAACTTGTCTCACAATTTGTTAAATAAATTTAAAAGAGATTTCGAACAAGGCATTATTTAACATCAATAGAAAGTAGGGCTGGGTATTGCCACTGATTTCCGATTTGATTCGATTTACGATATCGATTTAACTGGAGATTTTTTAGTTACAATACCAATTTTTGCTAGTATGTGAAAGAGATTCTCAGGAGACACTGCAGCATGATAATAAATTACACCCAAATGTAAAACAGTAAGCTAACAGTTACAGATAAAAGAGACGGTAACGTCGGAGCTTTTCAATACCACGGTCATTTTTAACTTTTAACCGGCAAGATAAACAGCGTTAAAGCTTCACACATCCGTGGGAAAAAGCATATATCAAAAGATCGATCTTGGATTTTACGAATCAATATCGGGTCATTGCAGTGAAAATCGATTTGAATCGCATAAATCGATTATTTTAACCCAGCCCTAACATAAAGTATGTTTATTTTAATGCTCAATTCACTTTGATTTTTTGGATCTTATTGGCCACACTAATATTTAAAACAATATGTTGTTATTGAAAACTTGCATTTCTTGTTGAGTCACTTTTTAATGATTGACTAAATATTGATTGTTAACATGTCCAAAAATCCATTAAAAAAAAATCCTGAAATTTGCATCCCTAAAATAAAGAACGGTTAAAGGACCAAATGAAAGAATCAAAAAAAGAATGTTTCAGCTGGATTCACAAACCTGAAGTCTATCGACATGAACTTTGACCCCTCCAAGGTTGCCTTTCTTGAACGAGGCCAGCATGTCCAGGACTGGGTTGAAGCGGCTCCCCCTAGTGAGACAGAGGTTAGAATGACTTCACTTTTCTTTTGCTGCAGTGAGCAGTAGAGAGAAACTGTCCCAATCTCAGTAAAAACATTTTGCGTTAACATTATATTCCAAACAGATCATATTTCATATCATTAGTATGAAACATCACAGCTCAAATTTTTCTCAATGAATTGGCACATTTCACCCAGACCCTCGCTGCTTTATTCAGTCTGCTGTTGCCTTCTATACAGGTCATCATTCTGATCAATAGCAAACTAATGACTATTGAGTTGTTTCTCTGAGAGCCCATTGACTCATTCCAGATGCTGCAATGTGCCTGTTTAAGCGTTTGTAGCACATTTAACATATGGCTTTCCGGATAATAGTCAATAGTGCTGTAATCAGCCCACCAGCCAGGCTATAGTGATACAAATGATAAAACATTATCACCCAATCAGCAGGCAAATACAGTTGCACCTTGCTGCTATTAAGATAAATAGTACACATAGGAGGGAAGAGAGGTAGAGAGGGAGGGAGAGAGAAATGTTGGATTTGAAAAAATGAACTAAACTGCGTTGGGACTGTCAAGAAATTTTGCTGCGAGCTTGAGCCAGCATCAGACAGAAACAGAGAGATAGAGGGTGATGTATGAGGAGATAGGAGGAGGAAGAATGCTGTGAGAAAACTATCAGGAGGACAGGAAGACAGGGAAAAAAAGATAAAAGAGCTATTATTGAGTGTGTATATTACTTGATGTTATCCTCGCGGATGAGAACCAGGAAGAGAGGACGTCCCTGCATCTTCCAGCACTGTTTGATGAACTGCAGGGCGTTCTGCACACACAGACACACACAGACACTGTGTCAGACTGGCATGGGTGGTGCCGCTTCAATGGTTTTAGCTTCCAGTGTTTCTGAGCAGAGACTGAATCAGCGCCAAGTCTAACCCCCTCATCTGTCAAACTGATCAAAGTTTGAACTGTAAAGTTTTTGATTATGGAGATTTATTTATGTTGAAAATATAAACTAAACTGACATTTAATGGCGTTACATGTGGAATACAAATACTGCTTATAAACAAATACTTGATTTTTAACCTGGCATCATTCAAAATCCAGTATTTTGAATTTTGAATGTGTCTAAATCAATTCTGTGTTTTGTTTCTTTTTTCCCCTCCATATTGTATTACCGTTGCGGCAGCAGTGTCAGTGTTCCACAGGGATCAATAATAAGCACACTATATGTAGTACATAGGTGATCTGACCCAACATAGTCTGAAAATAAGGCACTGGCTCATTCATTATAACTATTCATAGCTTAGTTGTTATGTATTTTCTTTGTACATGTTACCACTAAGCCACATCATGAAAAGGGCACAGTGTTTCGTATCACTGTTACGCTGACGACACACAGTGGTATCTCCATTTCTGACCTGGTGGCCCTGATGCTCTAAAATGCCTGCTTGACTGCCTAAGTGATATCAAGCATTGGATAGCTAATAACTCTTAAAAATAAACTAGAGAATAAGATAGAATTTCAATTTTGAGATATCCTGTTGCTGCTAAAATGAAGCTTGCGACCTATAGGACCACTCCCTGGTGATGTCAAACCCCACGGTAAAAATCTTGGCATTTTCTTTGACCCGATCTTAAATTTGATAAACAAATGCTGTTGTCAAGTCGTCTTTCTACCTTCCTAAAGTTTTAAGCAAGATTATGTTTTCTTTTAGAGATTTGGAGACAATAATGCATTCGTTATTTCTTCACACCTGGACTATAGTACGCATGATATTTCAGAGTCAGTCAGAATCTGTCACGCCTTAAGCTGGTGCAAAATGCAGCTGCACATCTGCTAACAAAATCTAAAACATTGTGCCATATTATTCAATTCTGACATAATTGAACTGGTTACCAGTGAAATTTAATGTTGACTACAAGGTTTTTAAAGCTTTGATTGGGCTAGATGCAGCATATCTCAGTGATCTTTTCGTCCCCACAGTCCTCCTACAACACTGAGGTCATCTGATAAGCTGCTGCTTTCTATCCCAGATAATCGTTTAAGGTGTAAAGGTGACTGTACTTTTTCTGTGGCCAGGTCCAAGTTTTGGACCTGCCACCGTCCAGGTGTTCGATCAGTCCCCACCAGCGTATGTTTTAAGTCCAGGTTTTGTTTGGCTTTCTATGTACGTATGTTAAATAAAATTTTAGGTATGTCAGTATGTGTTTGTGTCTTTGCCCTATTTGCAACACATTCTCACTCTGACCTTGTCACATATCGCTGCTTGATTGTGGACTTACCACATCTACATATGATGCGCAAGGTAGTCTGTTATGTGTGGATCTGTTGCTGATGTTCTGGGACGCCCTGTCAACTTAAGCCTGTTACATAAATTGTGTCTTTTCAAAATACACTTCCACTTTCACAGGAAATGTACAGTTGGCATACAGTCTCTTGAAATAAGCGTACACTGGGAATTTAAGTTTTTTTCCTCCAACAACTAGTGCAGGTGGTTACAGTTAGCCAACACATGCATGTGGTTAGGATTAGGCAACAAAAGCATGTGGTCAGAGTTTAACAAAAAAATCGCAGGGTGCGGCTAGACATTCATATGGGAAGTGTCCTGCTGCGTTTCCCCGACGCCATCAAGCGGTGTTACACACTGACAGCGTCTGGCCATGTATCATGCTGACGTGAAAGGACAGCTTTTTTCATCCGTGTCTGATGCAGAAGTCACTGCCCAAACACCGGTATTTGACAACTTTGGAATTAGACGGGGTTGTCATTTGTCAGTTTTCCGTACTTTTTCGTTTTTATTGTGCAAAGCCAAAGTCAAATGCTGGCTGTTTTTAGAGTGTACTAAATAAATAAACTGACTTGACCTCATGATATAACTATAAATGGTCCCTGGAAGGAATGAACTGGGAGGATCGGGATAATATGGCATGCAGTTTAGACCTCTAGGTCATAAGGATGCTCAACAGCTAAAGGTTTGTTTCCAGAACCTCTTCATAAGTTTTTTTAATGTAAAAACAACCCCTATTAACCAACCGGAAGCTGTTCCACTATTGCATGATATCTGTTAGTGACAAAATTAAAAAATATACAAGCAAACTCAATCATCAATCAATAAATTTAGTTTTTGAACTGGACAAGTGCTCAAAGGAACCTCCAGGCACCTGTACTGCCCCTTTTACTGAATGTACTGAGGGTAAATATGATGTAGTTATTATATGTGTAGGGAAGAACAGGACATTTTCCTGCTCAAACAAGCTGCAAGAGGAGGCAAAACTGTTCATGAATGGGGTGATGCAGAGTACAATAAGTGGTCTAATTCATTGGAAAGCTGCTGGTTGAGAGCTTAGATTTCTGCCATCAGGCAGGCTATGACTCTATGTGCCCTTTCTGTCGGGACATATGCAATCAAACCAAATGTAGTGATGTCCTGTCTTGTCCAAAAACATTAGGCTGCAGTTCTTTAGACCACACAAACTGAAAATATCTCAGTTATTTAAAGGGCCAGTGTGTAATATTTGGCATGGTTTATTGTCAATCTGAATCTGAATCTGAATATTCTACCCATTAATATGTTTATATATGTGTATAATCGCTATAAAATAAAATTCGTTTGGTTTTTGTAGCCTTATAATTATGCTTTTATATATATATATATATAGCAAGGGCCTTGCTTTAGAGAGGTCGCCATCTTGCGCCGCCATGTATGTACGGCAGACCGAGTGGACAATCCAGCCAGCCAGAGAACGTGTTTCACGTGTATAAATGAACCAATGAAGACAGCGGAAGGAAGGAAGAAGGAGGAGGAGGAAACAGCAGAGAGTGTTAGTAGTTCGTCGATAGAGAGTAGTGAAACATTTTTTAGTTATAAAGTTTGCAAATGGACCACACTTACCACGCAACAGGAGAGAATGAACCCGAACCGTCATCTGCGAGGAAAAGATGACGCAACTTCACTCCTTGTGATGCACTCTCTGCGGCGCTTTTCCTCCTGATGATATATCTCCCCAACGATGGTAGCAGTAGCACTGAATCCCATTCTGTGCATTCAGCCTCTCTTCTCGCCCGCTCAGCATCAAACACATGGAGTTCCTCATCTTTATGCTCCGGCTCAAACAGGTATGGCTCTGGCTCTGTGTCCGCTACAAGAAACTCTTCAAAATCGCGTTCAAAGTCGTCCACTGCAGCTACTATAGTCCGGAGATATCGCTAGGCTAAATAAACAGCTGAGCTCTGTTTACCGGCTACGCTGTCAGTCAGTGTGCGGGCTGGAGATTGGCGGAGCAGAGAGGGGAGGGGGTCCCCACTCGGTATGGTAAACGAGTATGTGTGTATGAAGTGTGTCTGTTACGCTAGAAGAGTCAGAGTTTGGGACGGAGTCTTTTACCCCCTGGAGTGTTACCGGAGTTTTTGGAGTGCTCAAATAAACTGGCCTTTTTCCCGAACGCTCCTCTGGTCTCCTGCTCGTGAGGGATTCATTACAATATCGTAACATGGTTTAGATTTCTAAATAAACATTCACCTCATCGCTAGATAGACCTACTCCTGAAAAACTCGTGCGCAAGGCTTTTTGTCCCTACGAGGCCACCGTCATTTACCCAATGGGAGGGGTGAGCGAGTGAGCCCTGCAATCTAGAATTTGACCACTGATGTCACTGTTTTCAACCCATTTTACACACTGGCCCTTTAAGGTTTTCCAGCACATAATAAGTGGTTAGCTGTGAAGTCATGGCAACAGTAAGCTCAGTAAGTGTGACCCCGACTTACCTTAATGTCATCAATCAGCAGCATAACATCTTGGGACAGGTAAAAGTCACTTAGATCAAATACTATTGGGTAGCACACCACCGTCTTCCCCAGGATACGATAAATCTGGAAGGAGATGAACACACACTACTGCATTAGAAGATGGACGACAAGTAGCGACGTATACATTATTCTGGGCGGCGTATAAAACAAGCCATCAATCCCAAGATAGAGGGGACACACAGAAGCTACACAACCACACACTGATAACACACACATACAGTACAAAACTGGTGCAAAGCCCCCCCTCTTTCACACATACAAATTGTCACAGGAGCACACACACACACACACCCCCATACAAACTCACTGATGATGATAACGCCCTCTGGCAGTCTGCCATCTTCCCCATAAATGTTCCATTATAATATTGTCTTAGCAATGCGTTGGGAGCCATGATTCATTTGTTTGGCAATGTCTTTGTTTGAGAAAGCTGCTATGGCTCAACTTTTGGTGACCTTCATTTCGGAAAAACTGCAAACAACATCCGCAAGAGACATTAGCACAGACACACACACAAACTGTGCAAACACACTTCCACAGCCACATAATATGCACACACGGACACACACGCACAGACTGCCTGACAGCAGCTTAGCATATTAAAATGCAATAAGTCCCGAGAATAAGCAAAATCTATTCAGCATTCACTGATGCATACTGTATGTCTGACGAAAAGCACAAGTCTTGGAACTGAATATTTTCTGTCTCTGTATTCAGTCTGTGAGCTGTAGTCGACTCCTCGGAGCTCTGGGAAATGTATGCAGATCAAAATGTGGGAGGTGTGTTTAGTGGTCACCCATGACCTTTGCAGCAGTGCAACTTGAGGTGCAAATGTGTGTGTGCATGTACAGTATGCACATGTGTGTAGGTGTGCTGGAAGATCTATATACCTTGCAAGTCCCAATACAGCCCACTGGCCTCTCTGGACGCCCACTCAACCCCAGCTTCTTATTGATGGCAAGGAAGCGGTATGCCTGCAGAGAGACACACATATATTTACATACAGACGTGAACAAATACCTTGTTAGTAAACACAATTCACTTGATATCACTGCTGGCCTTTCTGATTTCAGAGAGAACATTCCTGTGTGAGATTTAAAAAAGCATATTTTTACTGGAAATGTCATGCTGTACAGTGCCAGTCCATATCGTTATGAAAGTGCATCATCTGTCTGTTCCACTGAGACATTTCTGTTGTTGCAACTCATAAGCTGAAATTACCACCATATGGCAGAACCACCTACTGATATTAGCTCTGTGTAAAGTTATGAGACGTGGCGATAATGAAAGGTCCCTGTGCTGCCATCAGCAGCGTGCTTAGTGGACCCAAGCACACCCAGGGGCACCAGAGCTGATAACACTGTTGTGCTGAGATGCAGAGGCCCATAAGAAGAGACACTGAGACCTAGCTGAGCACTTATTAGAATAAATAAACAACGGCATGCTGTCTGATACCACGTGAGCTACTTAGCATATCATACACTGTTCAAAATGCCATGTAGGCTGAGTCCTTAACAGCGGCCCAGGGTCTGTTTCTGACCCACAGCCCTTTGCTACATGACCTCCCTCCTCTCCTGCCCTTTCCGGTCTATCCTCAGCTATACAGTCAATAAAGGCAAAAAGAAAGCCTAATCCATCTTAAAAACTAGTTGGTGGTAACTGACCCTTGACTAGGCCCTATGCCCCTTAGTCAGTGTTACTGGTCATGCTGTCCACTCTAACATGGCACATATGCCGTTTACAGTGATAATGATGGCACTCAAATTTACATTTTTTAAAACAATGGGTCTTCAGTTTCACTCGAAGATAGACAAAAGCCGGTCTCTCAATTCTAGCTGACGCCAGTTGATTTTGTCAGCTGAACTGGCATCTTTAACTAACACAGACTTGGCCTGTTTGGATGCTTACTATATAAACTCATGCTTGGAAAAGCAGCACAAGGGTTAAATGTATGCTTTGTTGTTTGTATTTTCATTTTTTTTCCTCCAAGAGAAAAAGCTTTATGAGGATGAGGACTTACCCATGAGTTTCGCAAATGTACGACGCTATCTGAGGTAACGAGCTTGGCTGGAGTGTAAACTTCCCCAAACCAAATAAAGAATTCCTGATAATGATATTCTCTAGCCTTATTTTCTTTAAAGGGGCAGTTCACCCTCAAATGAAAAATGCATATGTTTCCTCTTACCTGTAGTGCTATGTATCAGTTTAGACTGTTCAGGTGTGAGTTGCCAAGTGTTGGAGATATCAGCCATAGAGATGTCTCTCAAATGTAACGGAACTAGACCTGGTTGCACAGGATAATCCTCACACCTTGTTGTGAGCAGTTTCATGTAGGAACTATTTTTTTTCTTCCGAACTACACCTGCCAACCATGTCACTGGGCAGAAGGAAATGTGCATCTATTCATGGATGAGAGGGTCATGCTTGTTGCTGTGCTGTAACATTGGCTAGCTCAGTGGTGCTACATGAGCTAGTAATAGATGCATGCCTCCCTCTGCACAGTGATACAGTTGGTGGATGAAGTTCAGAGGAAAAAAACAGTTCCTGCTTGGAACTGTGGATTATCTTAATTAAACTTGTCATGATTTCTGGAAAATCATGGTAAGAACTGTCTCAAAGAAAAACACAACTACAAATAAAAGTCTGTCCAGTGATGTAAAGTATTACTCAACCTATGAAAATAGTTGTATAATGTCTTTTGTGGCTCTGGAGGATCTTTATTTGGTCTCAGAAAATAACCCTGATGATGTCATCATAGTCATCTTGGATAGGGCTCAAAGACCACACATTAGTAACAGTAAGACTGTGTTTCAAACCGAGGGCATGCAGTTTAAAAACATGAGTGGGAGGGTCTAAAAAGACACTTGTGGATGCATTATGGGAAATGTAGCAACCAGCATTTTGGGAACTTCACCCATACTATTATATGTACTAAAAGTGAGTACATCTGTCTCTGCTGCTTCCATCTGTCTCTTGTGAGTCAGCCAGCTTTATGGAAATGTAATGCAACAGTAAATTACTGGAGTAGCTCTTCGACAGAGTGTTTTCTTGCTTGGAATTGGCCTTCATGATACAACCTTGTTTCTAGACAAATGAAAGTAAATTGGACATTGGTGAAATTACTTATTCAATATATTTAACACGACTCACATTGATGTTTAATTTATTTTTGCCTTGGATACAGCACCACGCTTTCCCCTCACCCTTTCCACCAGGGTTGCTATGATTTTGCCATGGGAGTAGGTGGTTTCTACCTGGTCAATGCTGTCCACACATTATAATTCTATACCCTTCGGCTCTATGGTAGAAGGACTGTAAGTTTAATCAAGTCAGAAGTCATGTCTCAAGACTCCACCTTAGTCTTAAGCCAAGTACAAAGCAAATCTCGGAGACGAAAAATGTTAACATCAGCAGAGGCTAGGAGAGAGCTCAACATTAATGCTCTCTCCAACAGGGTTTGGACAAGAAAGATGGGCTCAAAGTAACTGAGGTCAAGTCTCGCACTTAATTAGTGGACTGAAACTCTGTGGTGTCAGTCAAGGCAGAAAAAGTATAATTCCCCTACATGTTCGATTTTTATTTTCAAGGCTGACTTAGCTCAAACCCAAACACAGGCTCTTATCAACAGCATTGTTTTACTTGAAGTCTTAAGCACTAAAAGTGATATTATTTATACAGGTGCACAATTACCTAGTTACAAAGAGCAAGACAGATAAATAGAAATCCTTGACTGTTTTCGCAGGTGCTGCTGTATAATTACGCAGTTGTTTCATCAAAAGGCTCCCTGGTTTGTCAAAACAAAGCAGAGAAAAAGGTTATGGCCTTCTCCCTCAGCCATCTCTAAGATGCATTTAGAGATGGCAGCGAGGAGAACACACGAGCTCCAACCCATCAGATTCTGGAGTATTTCTTTGGTACTTCAGATAAAAGCTTCTTACTGCTGTGTCGCCTGCTGTCAAATGCATTGACTCAAAGATGCAAAGAGAAAGAAGATGGACATTGATTTCTTGGCTCTGCTTGCTCGGAGCACAGTGGTGTGACACTCTCACCACAAGTTACTGTTTGTATCTGTGTGTGTGTGTGTGTGTGTGTGAGCTGAGGCATTTGCACTGTTGTGTACGTGGGTGAATTCCATTTCTGATGTGTCTGACTGAGTGTGAAACCAGAGTACTTATTCCCTTTGTGCAGGCCTATAAATTCTAAATTTAAATACCTCCCAATCTGTCCTATCATGAAACAGCATCAGTACACCCACACACCCAAGTGGCACTGCAGGAAATCTGCCTATCAAGCCCTGCATGCCGCATTCTTCCATGTCAAACCAGGTGCAATTCACAACATCAGCCAAAAGGTGGTGCTCTGCTACTCCAGTGCACTTCCTTAACTGTCTCGAAAAGGCTGAGCTGAACACAACAGGAGGAAGCAAGAGTTGGACCAATTAAAAGAAATTATACTAAAAGGGGAAAAAATACAGTCTTTATACAAAAGAAAGAGAAATTTTAATTGCGGATTAAGTGGCGTTGCAAATTGTGCCCTAACAGGCAAGGATGAGACCTGGGGGAGAAAAGCCATGGGAGGTTGGAGGAACCTCTGCACCCAACACTTCCTGCGTGCAGAATACCAATGAAGAAAGGACAACACGCAGGCAGCCTATCAAAGCATCCTTTCATTCCCTCACATTTCCACTGACCGCAGCACAAACACAGAGCCTGACAGGTGGGAGAGATAATAAAGGGCTGTTTCTAAAAGCTGTATTTTACATGTCTGCAGTGGCTACTGCGTGTGAGAATGTACAACTATTTACTGACAAACTTTTTAATGCACCGTAGGGAGAATCCTCAATTTGATAGGAGCTCACAGAGGAGTAGATTCCTGCACATGTTTATCGCTGCTAAGTTGGTGCCCCAAATAGTGTAAATGGAGCTGTTGGTGTCACAAAATGTGCATAACAGATTTACTTTTACAGCAGATGCTGTCATCCAGAGGGACTTAGCGTGCAGGTAGGGGTTCAGCAGCTTGCTTCACGGCTCAGAATGATACTGCATGTGCGTATTGAATCTGGGATTTAACCTTCTGGCTCTGAAAGGGGTTCTTTAACCACTGGGTTGCCCCACAAAATGTCTTAGGGTCGTACTTTTTCACATTTCTGTCAAAACAATACATCCTCATACGTAAACTGAAAGTGTTGCTGATTGCTTTTATTGTCCTTCCAGTGAAGCAATCCCATACCATAATGACTTCTTCTACTATGTATGGAATAGGTTTCAAAATCCAGTGTTATCCTCCCGAGTAAAAATGCAATCTCAACTTCAGGCAAGGCTAATGGCTTCTGAAGTCGCAGTTGACTGAGCTGTGATGAAGGAATCATAATACAACAAAGGAATTTTGTACAAAAAAGGCTTTTCCTTTGGAAGACACCCACCTTATTTAACTAGCCGCCTACTAAAGCCACATTTTAGCCTCTGCTCAACTTCAGTCTGGACTTATGCACAATACAAGGACTGCTGATTTTGACCCTCCTCTTTGTACTCACATTAGGAAGGGATCACTTCACAGTTAGTATGAATAGTAGAAATAATTACAGTGACCAGTACTATAGGTCATGATATTTTACTCACTGCCTCTGTGGTAAAGATTTGGGAAATGCAAGAGTGGCATAGGGACAATTTACGGCTTACCAAAAAACTTCAGTTCAACAGAAATGATCTCAAATACGCAGGGCAGCACAACTGTCATTGCTAGTTTCAGACCTACACAGTTGTCATTTTCACGGCCAGTGCCCACGTTTTATGTACCCGTCTGTGCATCCATGGGCATATAGGTCTTAAAAGGAGTGGTCAGCGGCATTGCTGGCGGATTGCTATTTCAAAGCAACAGAAGGCAACTGCGCCAATGACCAACAAAACCTGCTCTACAGTCAGAATAGTGGAGCGTTTTCCTGCTACTTACATGTAGAGGGCGCATTAGTCAGATA